TTCCAGTCTCTCTCTCTCTCTCTCTCTCTCTCTCGCACTCACAGCCTGTCTGTCTATCTGTCGACCAAACCTTACCAATCGATTCACTCGCAAATAATTTCTGTGATACCATTGAACGCAAAGTATGACAAATGATATAAAATAGTAATTTTGAACGAAATTCATATTTTGTTATAATTTTCTCTCGACTTACTCTCTCTCTCCCTCCCTCTCCGCCATTCTCTCCCTCATTCTCTCCCATTCTCTCTCACACATACACACCACTCATACGCATAGCTATTGATCGGCCGTTGGTATTGAAAAACAGTTGGAGATTAGAGCCGACATTGTATTGAATACAATATATAGTTATATATTTTGCAACAAAAACTAGTTTTTCTCATTTCATTCGGTTTTCTCGCATTCAAAACCAAAATCTATTGTAAAGAGAAAATTGTATTGAAGTTTGAATTTTGGAGTTTTAAATGGCATTAAGTTTTTAAAGGGAGAGAGAGAGAGAGAGAGAGAGAGAGAGAATCACCGAATCGCCGGCACAACTACCCGGCCTGTCGTGTCGTTGTCATAGATGTCTGCCGAGAGTGAGAAGTGATGTTCCTTTTGCCTTCCCTTCCCTTATTCTCGACACTACTGTACCCTTAATACCCCTCCGGGCTCTCTCTCTCTCTCTCTCTCTCTCTGCGATATATTTATGGTTTTTGAGACAATTTTTTCCCACACCTTAAACCCCAACACATATACCAATACACACACAATATATGTGTTCACTATTTCTCAGTACACTCTATGTGTTGTCATACGAGTAGCGCATATATGACTTGAATTACAAATCATATAAATAAATATTAAATATTATTTTGTGTCGATTTCATAATAAACATGATCTCCTATTTTTTCAATTAAATACTATAAACAATCGGTTTAATGGCACATAAATGATATATAATTCATACATTATATTATTTTATTTGTTTGGCAATACTTTTCCTGTCATTTATTTACACACAAACAGAGAGCGAAAATAAAAAGAAAATTCTTCACAGAATAATCGCCAGAATATTGGCTACCATTCCCCGGGTATCAGAGATGTCTATTTATTTTCTCTCCACTTTCCGACTAAAAAAAGACATTTTTATGCTATTTAGCGAAAAAAATAAAATATAATTTATACGACAATCAGTTTTGAATACGTAATTGTAATTACGGAGTGAAAATATTTATTGATTTAATGCCTGTGCAGTGGTTTGGGTGTCGAGAATCGATAGGTCAGTGTCTCCTTATGTATATATACTACCGAAGCCGTGCAAACATACCATATCTGCCGCACACATACTCTCTCTCTCTCTCTCTCTCTCTCTCTCTCTCTCTCTCTGACTGTATTTAAATACAAGTATTGAGAAATATATAGTCAAAAGAAAAATAGCAAAAAATAATAATAACTAAAATGCTAGCGAGAAATCCTGAATATACATAGCATGGCATAAGCTATAGCATACAGTACATTTGATATGTTTGATCATATATTATAAGTTAATGGCACCTAAAAAATGATATTCAATTCAATGATATTCAACTTTTTAAATATAATTTTTCTTTGCTTTTCAAATATGTGCTGCAATTCTGTATGTGTTTTCTGGATGTATATAGTATTGACTCCCAATCATATAGTAATGTAATGGAGTTTTTGATGTGTAGTGCAATGCACTGGAATATTACGTATATATCTGCTGTATATATCTTATACATACTATCGCTGTATATTTATTATATACATACACTTATATATTATATAAGTTATATATCCAGGAGAGTTGAGTGTATTCTGTCGTTTTGCAGTATATTGTACTCTAAACCATACAATCAAAACCACTGACATAACGCATGTCTTCTCCCATACTCTCTCCCATACTCTCTCTCACTAATTACTCATACCTGCCTACCTATCTCTCCCATACTCTCTCGCACTATCTCTCTCTCTCCCCACCAAATGTCTTATTAGCCGCAGAATTGTATCTGAGATGTGATTATATTTATGGCATTTTTTCCTTATACGTATTTAACATTATCTACAGAAAAAAATATATTTAATAACTTATATATTTTTAATCATAGCCTTTAAGATAACACTTGTATTTTAGCAATATTTGTATTCCTATCACTAGTCCTCTCATATGATAGTATATGTTATATACGGTTGTGAACAGTACTTCACAATTAAGACATTTATTCCCATTATTTATTTATTTATTTATATGTATTTTTGTTTCATATTTCCAATGATTAGGGCTTTTGATTGTGAGCGAGTATTTCGACCGAAAAAATAAATAATAAAACAAATGTACATAACAATCGAGAAATGAAAAGACAAATGCCATGAATGACAAGCCTTTCCCCAGCGATATGCCAATACCTAAAGGAGTCACCGATTTTCCAGATCAAAGGCAATGGATGTGGAGATAGGAGTTCAAGAGCAGCGCTCAGAAAAAGGGGGCAAAAAACAAATACCACATCAGCACTAAATACACCATGAATTTGAATATACCGTTCCTGTGCTCCCAAACCATTTGGCGAAATGATAACAAAAATATACATAAATAGAAAAATAAAAAGGAGATTCAAATCCACAGACTTGAGACTCTTTGCTCACTATATTTATTACACTTCACTTACATTTAAATTAAATATTATATCAAATATAAGCACAAAAAATTACATTTCGTTTTCCCATTAAGAGTCTCGAGAAGTAACATAACATTCAGAAAAACATCAATTTATTTGAGAAAGGGCATAAAAACATGAGTTTATAAACCACTCCATAATTATTAGTTAATCTAAAAGCTCTCTCTCTCTCTCTCTCTCTCTCTCTCTCTCTCTAATTATAAATCAATTGATTGATTGCTTATATTCTGTGAAAATTCATAGACTTTCTCTCTCGGAGTGTATATCTCAAGGACTGGACTGTCAGGCTCTGTGAGACCACTCACTCCTATTCACGCAAACATTGGGTGCGAAAAAGGGATTCATATATAAAAAAGATATAATTATTATGCAATGTTTGTGTGGATTTAATTAACTCTTAAAATATATACACTAGTGATGCAAATCTCTAGCAGCCAGTCCCTAAACCCTTAGACTAATCGTACAAATCTTTTTTACATAATATTTTTAATGCAATATATATTTTCATAGATATATATTTATATATATTTTAGTTGACTTTTAATTTTCAAAAATCGCTTTTTTGAACTAAGCCCAAAAATATTTACTGAATATATTATATTTATATATTTAACGTTATAATCGCCCAGAATATTGAGTGAAACTTGTTTTTTATATTTCACTGATGATTTGATTTCTCGTATATATTTTATTATACGTTATCTAACTATTTTTTAAATACATTTATATATGTGTACTGTATTTATATTTAGACTTTTTTTGTCATTAAGTTATTGCACTGGAAAAGTCGTTTGTGAATCGCAATGAGGTTTTTAAAAAAAAGTATATATTTTTTATTTATTAAAATTTATTATAAGTCTTATAATATTTTTTGTATTTTTCATATGTTTTAGGCGTTTGCGAGAGTATTGAACAGCAATCGCATGATTTTTAAGCCAATACTCTGTGTTTTTCAGAGGAAAAACTCATACAATCAGCAAATATTAACCGAATATTATAATTGATTTATATATTTATATTTATAATTTATAAATATAGACAAAAAATATGTGTGCATAATATTTCATGTATAAAAATAATTTTCTGTAAAATTAATTTCACAATCAATAAAAAGCTTATTTTGAAACCCGAGACCTATTGGCATTACATTTATATTAAATTATATTAAAAAAACTCACATTAAAAATCATAATCATAACAGAATTGCATACAAAAGTATATAAGATATTAAAAATACATATATAATATCAAAAACATTATATCAAAAATAAAAACTACTACAACTGAATCACCTAACTACAAGCAAAAATAGCTCGCACAAATAGCTACAAATTTAAAACCAATTAAAAAACACACACACATACACTGTACTAATTAAAACCCATAAAATATTTATAATAAATGTAACTAGCTGCAGCGAAAGTAAAAATGTATGTTAAACTTGAAACAAACTCCACAAATATAATCCTAAAAATCATGACCCTGTTTACTAGTACCGGTACACCACTGTATGCCTTCGCACACACACATTGAAGGACTAGTAGTCTAGGCGTAGAGTGCATGCGCGGGGGAAGGGCTGTCTACACATGTGTAAGAGTGCATTGCTATCGGCGCTACCAAAACACACACGCATTCAGTATTTATAGTGCGTTACATATTGAAGGACTAGTAGTCTAGGCGTAGAGTGCATGCGCGGGGGAAGGGCTGTCTACACATGTGTAAGAGTGCATTGCTATCGGCGCTACCAAAACACACACGCATTCAGTATTTATAGTGCGTTACACACGGGTCTCGCAGTCAGTGCAGTGCAGTCTCGCAAACCCAGTGATACACCGCTCGACAGCACCACCACTACCACCACCAACACCATCGATAACACACACACACGAGGGGCACTACCATACATACCGGTGCCCAACAGTCAGCCAACACTCGTACCCATCGCTTGACATGACTGTCCACACGCGCACCGCCAACGCGTGTCCGCCAATACTTTATAACTAAGATACGGGTGACCAGCACCCGGACACTTACCACACAAATACACTGGTGATTGTTATTTAGTGATATAAAACTTATTATACTGTATATAAATATAAAGTCAATCGCATACCTGTCCCCCGAAACACACCCATACCCGACGGGTGGACACCAATCCTAACGCGAATTAAACCGAAACTCAAAACACATCTGAAAAGCGAAAACTTCTGCCGACTTCTTGTGATCAACCATTGAGTGTCTCTCACTCTCAGCCATCAGTGACTAGTGTTTGCTCATCAGTGACCGCCACCAGAGTGTCCATAACGAGAGGCCACGGGAAAGCCATGTCCGTCGCGGGAGGCGGAAAAAACGGACAGTCGTTCGGCTCGCTGTCGGTGGACACGAACAGCCGGACCCCCTATACGGACGCCACCCAATGCAAGAAAGTGACGAACCATATCAAGCGGCCGATGAACGCCTTTATGGTGTGGTCACAGATAGAGCGCCGGAAGATCTGCGAACAGCAGCCGGATATGCATAACGCGGAGATCAGCAAAAGGCTGGGCAAGCGCTGGAAGACGTTGGCCGACGACGAGAGGCAGCCCTTCATCGAGGAGGCCGAGCGCCTAAGGGTGCTTCACATGCAACAGTACCCCGACTACAAGTACAGGCCCCGCAAGAAGGTGAAGACGGGTCACCCGAACGGCTCCCAATCGCCCACACCGTCGTCGATGGGATCGCCGGCACCCGCGCACCACTCGTCGCCCCAGAAGTCGATGGCCAACAACAGGCATCAGACACAGCGCGCGGGTATGTCAGCGGTAGTTAAGGGCTCTGCGGGCGGCGCTCATAGGCTCGCCATTCACGGCGCGACGGCCGGTCATACCTCTTCCACGGGCTCCCAGTCCTCCTCATCGCCGGCCCTCTCCTTCGCCCTGAACCCCAACTCGCGTCTCAAATTCAAGCTGACGATCGACAAGAAGCTAAAGGAGTCCATCAGCCGAAGCAAAGCGGTTCCGGTGCCGGTGTCGCAGTTGACACCACCGGCCAAAGTGCCCTCCAGTCCCGGCTCGTCCGACTCGCCCGGTTCGCCAGAAAGTGCCAATTTGTCCTTTTATGACGACCTCTACGACCACAAGTCGGCCACAGACGGCTGCGCCGACCCCTCCGACGCCCTCATGGCCTGCGACGACACCACCGGCGCCCTGACGCCCATTACGCCGTCAAACGCGGCGTCCGTAGCGCCGTTCCCCACCGCCTCCACGATAGGCTCCACGTTCACAGTGACCGGTATGACGGCCACCGGCGCCGGCGATCTCGTGTCGCTCACACATCCGTCCGCCGCCGTCTCCGGGCTGTTGACGCCGTCGACGTCAAAGGCCTCGTCGCTCGGGTCGCCCACCGCCTCCTCGTCGGGCGTCTCGCTGTCCGATTTGGACGACCTCTCGGACGTCCTCCAGTTCGAGAGCAATTGGGCCCAAGAGTTGGCCAGTTTTAATCTGACCCCGATATCAGTATTGGATAACATGGACACCGCGAGCTCCAGTTCCGGCTCCCACTTCGAGTTTCCCGACTACGCGCCCGAAGTGAACGACATATTGGGTGAGGACTGGGGCGACACCAGTCTCGCCAACCTAATTAACTCATAGGTTTACCCTGACATTCATTTTTATAACACACACATACACACACACACACACACGTAATGTATCGATCAGTTTGTATTTGTTGTTGTTTAGGCGGTTAGGGAGTACCCACAGCCCTCCCGATACCGTGGGGTCTAACCTCTTGATTGCTGACCTCAAACACCCCCCTCTAAACACACGATACGTTTTCTACATACATATTAAGCACACATTTTTTATAATCACTTCATAAAACTGGACTGGATTAAAAACTAAGCGTTAATTTTGTTGTGAAAATAGCAGACATTTGAGAAAATAACTGATTATAAATGGATTAGTATTGAGACTATTTGGCGAGGATTTAGATTATTAGGTCTTTTTCGAGAGGCAATACATGTACTACGAAAACGGTATACCATTTGTTTGACATTAAAAGGCTCTTTGAATTTATAATAATTATTATAATATATTTAAAATGAAAAGCGTAGAGATTTTGATATATAAATATAAATAGTTTTCACCTGAAAATCGCATTTTTCTAATCGTATGTGAATAAATGAAAACACATTTATTTTTCAAAGGACAGGGAGATTAGGTTAGGGCGAGAGTGAGTGTATTGAGTGAAATACGTGAAGCAATTTTCTCTCATTAAAATGTTTTTCCAATTTTTTCAATTAATTTGCGAAAAGTATAGATATTATTAAATATGAAATACATTTGAGATCAGGAATCAATTTGATTGTCATATATTTGTAATAATAATAAAATTTTGTGCACAAAAAACAAACAAATTTTATCGATAAAAACGCGCTATAAATACATTTGATTATAAATATTAGCTATTGATTAACATTGTATTGAATTGATTATCAAAAATCGCTGGAAAATCAATTGCTTTCAAATAACATACACACAAAACATTGTATTTCTCTGTGTCTATCAAAAGTACCAAGCTATGTGCAAAAATACAAACCGATAAAATAGTAATAATAATAATAACGATGAAAATAATTCCCCATTAAATTTTATGGGCCTAACCACCCCCTGCCCCCTCCCGATATTTTTGTTGTACATATGACGGGCCATAAAGTTTAATACAAAAAAAAGTTAATTACAATTGAAGTGATAGTTGAGATGCGAAAAAAAGTAAATTTTAAATTTTTTTTCAATTTTCATGAGAAACTCTTTTTAAATATTGCAAACTTTTTTCGTTGTAAATATTAAATATAATGATTTATTTCTCATTTTATTATTATTATTATTATATGAAAAATATAGTATATCTGACGCGTCGTCCCCATACACTCAAGTGTTTATTTTTGTTTGTTTATTATTATTATTATTAATGAATTCATAATTTTTATTAATTATTATTATTTTGTGTCGAGAATTATATAATTTTTTTCTCAAATACGAGTTACAAACTTTTATTTGGAAAACAAATGATTATTGAATTTTTTATGATTATTATGATTATAATTATTATTATTATTATTAATTTTTCTCAGTTATAAAAAGTATAAAAGCGATAAATATTTTTTTGAAAATATGATTAAAAATTGACAAATAAATGATATAAAAAACAATTTAATTAATGCTTATTGACAAACTCCCCAAGTTCATTTGGCTAATGTTACCAAAAATTTGTGAAAAGTTTATTATAAGAATTTAATAATTATTGAGAAACTGATGAAAATTCATATATAATTGTGTGTTTGTATTGTGTTGACAACAAATGCACGGAAAAAACAAACTTTTTTATACATATAAATACTGTAGTATATATAGTATATAAATATAAAAAATATTATATAAATATTACGTATAATATTATTATTATTTCCGATTCATTATGATTATTATTAAAGTGTCATTAAATTTTTTGCACAGGCATTTATATTATAGCGATCACTTGTATTATATATTTGCTTACATTATATACGAAAATGATTATAATGTGAAAAAACCTTTTTCGAGAAAAGTATATAAATATTTGAACGAAAAAATGTCTTCAAATTTGATGATTAATTATAAATTATCTTAGATTTAGTGATTTAGTCGAACAGTTACCTCATTATTATCAGCGATTTTTTAGACACTTTGATAATAATTAGCCGTCTTATCAGACATTCATTTCCATTCATTCATTATTTGGTCATTTGGTTCGTCAGATATATTGATTTGTTGTCTATTATATAAGTTGTAGTCGACCCCCAAAAACACCAACCACTCGCCAAACACTGACATCCCATCCCATTTTGTTTTTCACATGCCTTTCCCCTCCATCATCCCTCCCTATGTCTTATGGTGTGTCATACCATTCATTCGGACCATTAATCTCATTCATAATACCTGTAATCCACTGTCCGTTTCATATATGTATTGCTATTTCATTCATATATTATTATTGATAATTATGCCATCGTTTTAGTTGTCGATTGAGTTTTAGTTTTGTTTTTTTATGACATTATAATTATGACATTTTGTGTTGTTTTGTGTTATATTTTCTCATTGAGTTTTAATAATATCTCGTACTATAGTAAATATCGTAATGTAATCACAATCTAATGTCTAACCGAAAGAGTTAATTACGAGTTGAGAGAAATCATATGAATAGTAATAATCTGTAGTGTTTTAAGTGAAATACACGTTATGAGAGCCTAAACAACAACTGAACTCCAACTTTCTTATCGCATATTATTTGTCAGTTTTATTATTATTATTATTAATATTATTATTGAATTCATTGCTTCTCTCTCTATATATGTATAATCATTACGTAATGAAAATAATTGCGATAAAAATGTGCGATTAGAGCATAAAAAATACATACAGGCATTTATGTTTGAACAACAAAAAACTCCTTATTGCTATATTACTACAACACTATTAAAAGTACTAAAATCCTTTTAAAAATGCGATTTTCAAACACACAATTTTTTCATTAAAATTCATTTTTTGTAAATTATATATAATAGCTTACTAATGAAAACAGTTGATTACTTATTACCTAGAATTTTTATTACATTGAAATACTTATGAAATACTATTATTACATTTCTATGAATAAGTGACTGAAACTTGAAAAATGACATAAAAAACAAGACGATAACAAAAACCGATTTATTAATATTAAATAATAAAAATGTATGAAAAACACACACTTTTTTATATATAAATACTTCGTGTCGATGACAACAAAAAGTTTTCGTATTAATATTAATAGGAGTTTTGACTTTTTAAAACTTATTGGCATTTATTAAATAATAATATTATGTAATACAGTATGCAATGCAATCACAAATGTGTGTAATGAGAGGTTACATGAAAAAACATATATTACATCATCTAATGATAATAATAATTGATTTTTGAAAAATATATTTAAAAAACAAATGAAAAAATAATTATTTTGGTCTTCAATTGAGCTGAGCTTTTGTCACATAATTTCTTTCCCCTCTTTGAGAGTATTAGAGAGAAAAATAAAGTGTTTTTTCAAACGACTCGTCGAGTGAAACAAATTTATAAATTTTAATTATTATATAAATATTGATAATAAAAATTGACATTACATTTATATATATAAATAAATATAAATTATTATTAAGAAAACAGATTTGCGGAATCGAGAGCTCAATTGAATTGTGAAATCTATTAAATGTTATTAATATAAATTGATAAAAAATAAAATTTGAATATATATATATGAAAAACATTACAATCTCGTTTTTTACTTAACAATTATTATTATTATTACTACTATATATTTTTTTATTATAATTTATATTTGATTATTAAAATTAAAAAGTATTATTAATGAGTATGAGAAACACACACTCGTAAAATAATTATTTGATATAATTAGTTGAAAATGAAAATTGTCTACAATTTATAATAATTTTAATAGTTTTTGCACTTTTGTCGTCTACCTGTCTCTCCGATTATTATTATTATGAATTAATTATTATTATTTTTGGTTATTATGTAATCGTCCAATCGGTTATATCATTGATTATTATTATTATTAATTAATTATTATTATTGTAATTGTTTTTATGTTTTGATTTTTTATGTTTAATAAGAAAAATGTTTATTTGAAACCCTGAAAAAATGCGCTCAATTTATTTTTACGTTGCCTACATATCATTATTTTATAAAACTATTATTAATATCGCATTAATAGTCGTATTGATTATTACTATGTTTTTTGCAATGATTAAAAATAATTTCAACTCAATTGTGTGAGAAAAACCTTTTCGACTCTTAAAAGCGTACTCAAGGTATTTATTTTGGAGCCTTTTTTTAATATACAAATAACAAAAAATTATTTGTTATTTGTTTTCCACTCTCTCTGCAAATAAAAGTCAAATCCATTTATGATTTTAATAGCGTTTCTGTTGATAGAAATCAGTTTAAGTTTGATTTTTCAACGCAATTATCTCTCTCTCTCTCTCTCTCTCTCTCTCAGCGCTAACTCTATATTTGATTTTCAA